TAACAAAACAATTAGATCTGCAGGGAAACCGATATGGGATCAAAAACAGCACCAGAATTCAAGCTGGAGAAGACAGGAAAATAAGCAGATGAACAGAATCTACAAAGGAAAATAAATACAGGCCAGCTTCAGTCTGAGAAAGATGTCTCACAGTTATGGGTCTTTTAGTTACAGGGTCATGATTCTTGCCTGCCTAACTTATTTTATATATAAAGAAATTGTTAATTGTCTTGAACGTTGGGTAAGAAAAAAAAGTTCCAACGTGTAGGTTCAAGACAGTCAGATTCCTAGATTCTTTTGCAGCTACTGATTTACCAAACATACCTTACTCAACAGCATGTAAATTAACTTCAGTTGCATTCAAGTGTGAACTGCTTGTATTGTTTTTCTAGACTTTCTCCTTTTTTAGTTTACCCAACTGTCCTCACACAATTTTTTAAAAGTTGTTTTATTGCAAATACACCCACTTTAAATAGTGGGATCCCTGTTTGGGGATTATGTCAGCAGTAAAAAAGTGACTTACAACTATAACAATACTTCTCTCCAATACAGGTAGTCCTCGACTTTACAACAGTTCCCTTAGTGGCCTTTCGAAGTTATAACATCAAAAAAGTAACATTTTTCACACTTACGACCAACATCATCCTTTGATTTTGTAAGTGAGGAAGTTGGATCTCTCAATGCTCCTAGACCATGTTGCATTCCTGCAAAAGGATCCCTTCAGTATCAAGTAGATTTGGAAAGGAAGGAAGGAATGGGCTGAAAGATGAGTTTCAGCTGTGCCCTGTTTCATTTTGTGTGTGTGTGTGTTGTGTGTACAAAGTTCAGGCTACTCACATCATCATCTTCCCTTCTGTTCACTCATTTCTGATTTTCGAAGACTGCCTGGATAAGTCCCTGCCATTTTCTTGGCAAGGTTTTTCAGAAGTGGTTGGCCATTGTTTCCTTCCTAGGGCTGAGAGAAAGTGAAGGTCACCCACTTCATGCCCAATCACCCACAATGCACCAAATACCAATTTATAGAATCCACCGCTACAGGATGATTTACAGACCAGGACCTTCAGAAAGTAACATTCGTGCTACTCTTGGCGAGAGTAAATGACAACATTGTCCTTTTTGCAAACCAAGCACTTTTGTCACTGGATACAGAAAATCTGGAAAAATAGCTTTGATTGGAAAAACTGATTGACCAGAGAAGAGCATTAAAAGAACCTAGAAAAGGCTAGGATGGTTCCAGTGCATTAGCCTCAGCAACAGAGAGCCACTCATGTGTATCCCACGGATAAAATTCTGGGAGAGCATTTTTGATGATTCAGAGAATATAAATAACAGGGTAAGACAGACCCGAGACAGCAAGAAATTCTGTTTGGTTCCTTGGGATGGAGGTTGAGGGCCATTTCTCAGCAGAACGTGGGTGTTGATAATTTCCTGAGTGTAATGCTGGGGTACAAATCAAGCCTAATTTTGTTGGAATAAAAAGGTAGGAAAAAAAACAATGTAGGAGAGATAGATGAATGGGGATTCCAGGATGGGACAGGTGGGTCCTTGGCTTACAACCATTCATTTAGTGACTGTTCTAAATGACAACTACACTTATGACCGTTTTTCATACTTACGACCGTTGCAGCTTCCCCATGGTCATGCGATCAAAATTCAGACACTTGGCAACTGACTCATATTTATGACGTTTGCAGTGTCCTGGGCTGATGTGGTCACTTTTTCGGACCTTCGGACAAGCAAAGTCAACGAGGAAGCCCGATTCACTTAATAATCGTGTTACTAATTCAACCAGTGCAACGATTCCCTTTAACAACTGTGGCAAGAAACGGGGCAAAACTCACTTAACTGTCTTGCTTAGCAACAGAAATGTTGCGCTCAATTGTGGCCATAAGTCAAGGACTTACCTGTACCGATAGAAGAGAATATTTGTTGCCCAAGGTTGATCTGTGGGGTCCTTGGTGCTCTGTGAGCTTGGTGGTTTTTCTTGCACGCGCATTTCATTTGCACTGTAGGTATTATCAGCGCTAGTAGTGCTGCTCCCTTCCAGCACTGATGAGGTTACCTGTTATTTTGCACTGACTGCATCAGAAACAATGGGAGAGGTTGCTGATTAATAGGGCTCCCTCAGTGGATTCCTGAATTCTCAGCTGACCTCCCTGTGAGTGACCTGGGAGGATCCACGCTTCAGATGATACAGCTGGGACCCGTATTGAGAAATAACTTACTCCATTAGATACTGGAATCTCACTATGTCAGTCTACCTTGGCTTGATCTCCTTACGATGACAGAGCCATGTCAGCTTGTGTAAGGGCAGGATTGCACCAATGCACAAAACATTCCTTCATGGATATTAAAGATTGGGAAAGCTATCATCTGAGCATCTGTAAGAATGATGGTCCTTCTGGCCTTTATAGGATAATTTTTGATGTGTATGAGAGAAGGCAGGAGACGGGCTTTGGGTTCAAATCGGCAGTATCAGCCTTCAAGATTTTCTCCCTTTGCTTTGCAAGTCTTTCGGTTGTCATAATTAACGGGGGGAGGAGGGGGGATATGGTTATGGGAAGTGAGCTGGAGGTGTTACAAAACAGAACTGTATAAGCTGTGGGGGGAACTGTATAAGCTGTGCTTAGGCTTCTATCCTATGCTATGCACAGCTGCAACTCTTTATCAAAATATGTCAAGGTCAATGGACAGAGGCCTCATCACCACCTGGAGATGCCCACATGATGATATACACAACTTTTAATTGGATGAGCCAATTGAACTATTGGGGGTGGGAATGTTGCCATCACTTTGTATATGTGATTTACGCGCCCATTTTCTCAGATTCAGAATTCTTTTGTTGCTATCACTTGATTTCCAGCAAAAGATATCTTTTCTCTAATTAATGGAGTCTAAGTATTTCTTTCTTGGATTTTGCATGGAGCACCAGCTGACAGGCAGCTTGATCCCAGTTAGCTTGTTCTCTCCTGTTCCTTCAGTAGTTAGGAAGGAACAGTTTTTCAATCTTGCTTTCCTCCCACTCCCTTCCTGAATTCCAGAGGTGATGGACTTTGTTCCCCCATAATCCCTAACTAGCCACTAGGCTTTTGGGAGTTAGTGCCCATCACATCTGGAGAGTGACCTTTGTGCGTGAGAGGGGCGAGGGCTTCTCTGCCTCTTCAATACCTCTGGATTATTATGTCTTATTCCTGGGTGGTTGTCAGCAACCCGCAGCTTTGGAGCCGCATGCGACTCTTTGGGCCTTCTGCTGTGGCTCCCTGTTGGCTGGCCCTGCCCCTTACTCACCCCTCCCAGTCACTCCTCGCCTGGCCTGAGAAAGTAAAAAACACAAATAAGAGGGAGGGAGGGAGACCCATTTCCCACAGAAAACACCCAGAGCCATAAAACCTGGGTAGGCATAGCAGGGGTGGGTGAGTCATGTGACTGGTGGGAGTGACATTGAGTTGGCCACACCCACCCAGGTTTTGAGGCTCCTGGTGTTTTCGGTGGGAAACGGGTCCAAATGGCTCTTTAAGGTTGCCGACCCCTGTTCCTGGGTAATCATCCAGGCTTGGTTTTGTTTGTGGACCTACGAAAGTAAAGATTTTGGAAGCAGGGGTAGGTGTGGATAATTGGGGGGGGGACACACACAACCTATTCTCTTATTCTTTTATTTTTCTTATATGTACCCATTTCATGTATTCACAACTATGTATACACTTATACTTATTATCTTGTAAACAATTGGCAAATCAAATAAATAAATAAATAAATAAATATTCCAAATGGGGCCTGCCTCCATCCAGGTGACAACCCTTCTCAGGAGCAACACAAGTGCTTTCAACTCTTTCCTTATTCAGCCACAACCAGCCGTAGAGTAGAGTAGAGTAGAGTAGAGTAGAGTAGAGTAGAGTAGAGTAGAGTAGAGTAGAGTAGAGTAGAGTAGAATAGAATAGAATAGAATAGAATAGAATAGAATAGAATAGAATAGAATAGAATAGAATAGAATAGAATAGAATAGAATAGAATAGAACAGAACAGAACAGAACAGAACAGAACAGAAAATATGGAATGGAATGGAATAGAATAGAAAATATGGAATAGAATAGAATAGAATTCTTTATTAGCCAAGTGTGATTGGACACACAAGGAAACATAAAGAAAAAATAAAATACATTCATCCAGAATCATAAGGTACAACACTTAGTGATAGTCGCAGGTTACTAAATAAGCAATGAAATCATGCTAGGGAACAAATAAAACAATATAAATTGTAAAGATACAAGCAACACGGTTGTAGTCCTACGTGGTGACTACATGAAAAAAACAAATATAAGAAAAGGGAGATGGCTGATTTATACAAGGACCGGGGAATGTGGGGGAAATAATAAATATTGGTGTTTTTTTTAATGTGCGAAAAAGGAGGAGGGACGTGAAGTCTTCCCAGACGCTGGGTTTCTACAGGGCAGGAGGGCGGCAGCAGCAGCGCGAATGAACTGGATGGAGGACCTGGCAAATATCGGGGTCTCCAGGAAGGGGGGGAGGCAATCGAGAAAGCGGGGAGAAAGTGCTCCAGGTTCCTTCTGTGTGTGTGTGTGTGTGTTTGTGTGTGGCGTGAGATACAGAGTTGCCGGCTGCGCTAACAGAAGCCCCTTTGTGCAGCTCCTTCGCCGGGTGCCCCTTTTGTGTTTATATTTTATATACATCTATCCATAGATTTATATTGATATTTTGCAAAGGGGCGCGATTGCATTGAAAAGCAAGGGTGGAGGGAGAGGAGAAGGAACTATCCGCTTCCCCACCGCCACCTTCCCGGCGTCACCGCCGCCGCCTTCTCGTGGCCTCGGCTCGTATTCCCTTTTGTTGCAAGCAAGCGATCGATTCCCCGCTACTACCACTACTCCTCCACCACCGCCGCCTGCCTCCTCCTCCTCCTCCTCCTCCGCTCTTTTCTCCAAAGGCTGAACCCGCCCCCGCAGCCAGCCAGCCAGCCAGCGAGAAAGCGAAGGCAAGGAGCGAGCGAAGAAGGCACGAGCGCGCCATCCCACGCCACCTCACCTCCGCTCGCCCGGCTGCTGCCTGGCCTCAAGGGCCGGCTGGAGACCCACGGAGGAGGAGGAGGAGGAGGAGGACGGGCCAGGATCCGAGGGGCCGGGCCGGAGCGGATCGGGCGGCGGCGGCGGCGTCGAGCGGCTGCGCTGCGCCCTCCCCTATTGTCTCCGCTCCGGCTCGGGACTGGCTCGGGCGGCCGTCGGCGCGGCGCAGCGGGCTCGAGGCGCCATGGTGGTGAGTGAAGGCTCGGGGTGGGCAGGGCAGGAGGGGGTCTGTCCGTCCGCCCGGCTGTCTGGCTGGGGAGGGGGCGACGGCGGAGGGCTGGGCAAGCCCGGCTCTCCCGCTGCCGCGACATGATGCACCTGTTACCATCGGAACCCAGAAGGGGCGCCCCGCGCGACCCAGCCCCGCCGCGCCGCGCTGACTCGGCTCTCCGATTCTCGCGCGTGGTTGCATAAGCGGCCAGAGATGAAAGTCTCCGCGAACCTCAACCTCAGCCCCTGCCTCCTCCGGACCCCCCCCCCCCCCCGCTCAGGTCAGGAGCCCGGGTGGAGGCGGCTCATTCCGAGGGGATCCCTCCATCCCGTCCCCGAATCGCCCCTTTGCCCAATGCCTTTCCCCAGCTCCAGGGAACCAGGCATAAGGGAAAAGTCTTTGAACTCATTAAGATCTGGGCAGTGCCAACGGTTTGGATGTCCTCAGGAGACCCCCCCAACCCTCCCCCAACAAGGCTCAAATGGCTCTGCCCAGGAAACAATTTATTTTTTTATTATTAAAATAAAAAAGGTCCCTCAGAAACATCTCCAAGCCTTGGCTATCTTAAATGTTAGATCGGATCTGCATCTGGTAAATATTAGGTTGGAGCCACATATTCCCCCATTACCTTTCTCCACTTTACATAAGCTCAGTTCTTCGGAAGCTGTTTCCATGAGTTCTCTGGCCTGGTCAGCTGGATTTGCACTCTTAAGAAACAAGAAAGGCAGAAGTAGGCCATTCATTAAGAGGAGGAATGGAAATGTCAATGATGCCAAGTGGAATATTATCCTATTTTCTGGCTGGACACTTTCTTCCAGTGTGTTATCTTCAAAACCAACAGGCAAAGTTTCCTGATATTTGGGGTTTGATAGAAACATCTAATACAAAAGGCAGTTCTTTCCATCTACCTTAACCCAGTCAGATCCAAAGGCCTCATTTTTGTTATCTTCCCATTCTGGTGCACCACCTCCCATCATCCACAGCAGAGTGGTAATGGTTTATGAGAGCTGGGATGTAATACTTCAAGAAACCCAGCATAATTCTAGCTCACATATCCTATTCAGTGCTATTTTGCTTTAGCTATGGTTGTTGAATAAGCCTCAGTATCTTCAAGATATGAGCTAAAGACATAAACCATGATCTGTAAACATCAGTAGCTGGATATATGTAACCTACATCAAACTGGTCATATAATGGTTTTAGAGTGATAGATGAATCTATTCATTCGTATCTCATTCTGTGTATACTTTGGCTGAGTGGACAGGAATAATGCTTTTTTTTTTTTTTAATCTGTCCAAAAAGAGTAAAACATGGCTTAGGATGGGCTTGGTTTCACAGGCTGTCCTCCTGCTATTCAACTATTCAACTAATCAAACAGGTTTTGCAGATTTTTTTGAAACAGATCCAAAAATCTGTAAAGCTTTTTTCCCCCACCAGCTATGACGCATGTATATACCATAAGGAAGGGTCATTTTCTTGGATTGTTTTCAGAACTGTCCACCCTCGTAACTACCTACATTTATTCTTTTGAACAGAAGAATATTCTCAGCTATGCTTCCTATGTTTTCCCAATGCCACCCCACCCCCTTGTCCTACTCTTTCTTCCTATCCCCTTAGAGATAATGTTTCCCCCTTCCACTGCATAAATGTGAACCCACATAAAAAGGTTAATAAGTCCTGTTTCATATTTATTCTAAAACAGGAACAACATCCTCTATCCCTACATATATATGCACAGTGAACATGCAAATGTAAAATGAATAAACAAATCCTTGCTTAAGATCTAGGTCAGTGTTTCTCATTCTTGGCAACTTGAAAATGTGTGGACTTCAACTCCCAGAATTCCCCAGCCAGCATAGTGAGAATTCTGGGTGTTGAAATCCACACATCTTCAAACTGTTGAGTGTTTGGTGTTAAGAAACACTGCTCTAAGCACAGAACACAATGGCAATCAGGTTCAATGATGACTGGGATTATTCCTGGGAGAGCCTTATCATTGAGTAGATTGAGATGGGCAGTGCCTTGGATAGCAGCTCACCCCCAACTCATTATATGTGGACGCACCTGTATTCCTTATGTTGGAGCCAAGCAAACAAACCCATGTTCACTAAGTTAACATTAATCTCACCTTCCAACACCCCCCCCCCCATGTAATGGACAATTTTGGCCTACTGCCATTAAAGTAAGAGCCATTGGCCAGTAAAGTCAGTAAGAAACAAGTAGGCCAATGGGTCATCACTAGACGAGATGGGCACCACAAAAATCTAATCAACAAATAAACAAACTTGGCTACAAAGGTAAGCAAGCTCTTCTTGGTTAACCTTGGCTGTTGTAGTTACATGTTGCATGCCGTATTCTGACAACCAATGCTGCTCAAATCCTGACCTGAACTATTAGGATAGAAAAAAAATGTCCCTCTTATTTTATCATTGTTCAGTGTCACATTTTGCTTTTCTAGAAATGTGTACCTGATAGTTACATCTATTTGAAATGACAGGTTTTTTTTTTAGATAGTGTAGAAAGACCATAAATACTGTCTTTCCCAACTGTGAGAGACAGAGAAAGATACACAAATGATAAATCTTGCACTGCTTTTTTAGAAATCTTGGTTGAAAAATTCTTAGTTTGGGTGAAAAGGTGATGATCATATCGGAATATCGTTGTATGTTGCCCACTTGAGAGGAAATTAATCCAGTACTAATGATAGAAGGGAATATTTGTAATTTAGGGTTGAACTTGTGATGTTCTTGGTGCTCTATGAGCCTGTGGGGTTTTTTTTTGCAGACATTTCATTACCAAACTAGGTAACATCATCAGTGCAACGTTAGTAACATACTACTCTTCACTCCTCTCTCTCTCTCTCTCTTTCTCTCTCTCTCCACAATTGTTACCATTCTTCACGCTTGTATTAAGCTCTATTACAGTGGAATATTTTTTATTTTGCTTTCATAAAGATTGGTCCTTTGGGAATTAACTAGAATTGGGCAACTTACACATTTGAGGACAGCTTAACCATTCACTCAACTGATTGACTTAGATGGAGAACTAAAGTTTACCTGCCAAAATATGTTCTAAATCAAGGGTCTTCAAACTTGACAAGTTTAAGACTTGTGAACTTCAACTCCCAGAATTCCTGAGTTAACGTGACTGGTCGAGGAGTTCTGGGAATTGAAGTCCACAAGTCTTAAAGCTGTCAAGTTTGAAGACCCCTATTCTAAATAAATGCAGAGTTTTGAAAAGAAAGGAGCCCTGGGTACTTTAAACGATTTCAAAGACATTTGAGTGTAGAGTGAGTTTTTGCAAAGACTTTATGAAATGCTTTTAAAAAAATGACACCTGTTATGGAGAATATTCAGAATGTGATGAATGTTGACAATCCCAGTTGGTTCTTCTACATACAGTAAAAACAGCCTCAGCTACACATGTCATATGTGAAGATTGACAATCTTCTATAGCTTTCCAGATAACAATTTTATTGCCAGCTTCAGCTAAGACTTGACTTACTTTAACCTGGTTTCTAGTTGATGAAAGAAACCAGGTGTTGATGTTACGAATAATCAGTTTTTAGCTTTTCACAATCTGTAATGAAAAGCGCCATGTGGGTTTGAGATATTGCTTTAGAAAATTGATGATGGAGCAAGATTAGATATTAAATGCCGAACAAGTCAGAGTGGTACTTTCCGTGAAAACGCACACAGTAGGGAAAAACAATTTTAGGAAGAAAAGATTGCTTTTTTGAAGATCGATAGTGGCCTTGCTTATCAGTTTGGGGCATAATTTTATGGGTAGCAGCAAATAAAAGGAAGTCATCACGGGATATGCAACAGTGGCATTTAAAAGGCAGTTTCTTTTTCAATATCTACTCCAGATTTCCAAACTGTACACAACATTTGTTGCAATGCCTGAGGAAATACGATTAGTGATAGAGTTTTCTTGTATCCACATGGTTTGTAAAGAATGAAGCCAAAGAAACACTAGAGTGTTGATTAATGGTATTTATTAGCAAAAAGGTTGAGAATGTAAATCCAACATCAAAATAGAATTCCAGCAAGAATTCTGTTTTCAGATTTTATATATATACTGTATTTTTGATGTATAAGAGTTGAGTCTTTAGGAAAGGTGGTGAAATCATGCATCTGTTCTATATTACTAGACATTTTAACAATTTGCTTATTATGCTTATGAGTTGACTTTAAGTACAAATCAGGATTTTGTAAATGGAAACCCTCTGATTCATTTAAGAACCTTAAATGAATTGAACTGAATTAGCATTAATGTATTGGTGTGACTCAGTTTACAGAGATTTGGGCTCAATTGGCTCATTAGTTATATCGCACTTACTGGGTGATCTTGGCCAGAGAGCATATCTCAGCATATTTCCATGCTCTGTAAATGTATTTGTTTATTTTCTGTTTATTATCTTGTAAAATGTGCGAGCAAGATACCAACATTCCGCAGTTCAATTTGCAGCAGATCCTATGGAAATGTGATTACGATTTAAAAGTCTTCTCAAATTTTCTACCTTGCTCTTCGATCCCAGTAGATTCTGAGCACGGCTTATGAGGCAAATTAAATTAGAGTAAACAATTTTTTAAAATGACTGTAAAGAAGTAATTAGCTGACAGAGCAAATCCAATTTTTTTTACCTGTTGCTCTAAAGATGCCAAACAGCATCAGGTGGATTTGAGGATAGAATTCCAGACCTGGCTAATTCCTTCCAAACAACCCTACACATACACTAGATTCATACATCATAACTAAATTTTAATGTGAATTTTGTGGTTCTGACTTAAGGTAGATACTTAACGTGTAGTGTGGCTTATAAACAATGGGGTTGTTATAAACAATTGCAGTTGTTCAATAAACTATGTGTAGCAACCCTCTTATTTTTTTTCTCTTGGAGGGGCCCAGATGGACTTTTGCCTGCTTGGTTGGAAATTTCTTTTCCCTTCAAGTCAGTGGTGTGTTTCAAATATTTTTTAACCACCGGTTCGGTGGGCGTGGCTTGGGTGCACTTTGTGCATGCACACACACTTCGTGCACACATATGCACCAAATGTGCACTCTGCGCATGCACAGAGGTGTTTTGAGTCACCTGCAATCCTGCACTCTCCCTGACGCTTCACCCAGTGCCACGTGGCAATTGCTGTGCTGCGCAAAGCAGCTGTGCTTCAAAAGCAGGAGATAAAGGTTAGTATGGGAGCCCAGGCGGGCGGTGGGGCCCAACAGCAGAGCGTCTTAGAGAATCGGTTTGGTCTCTGCTGCTCATCACCGCAACCGGCTTGGCCGAACTGGGCCGAAGCGGTAGAATACCACCACTGTTTCAAGTTCCATTCTCTTTATCAACTAACAGGGCCCTATAGATACCTCTGTCTAGGCCAGGGGTGTCCAACCTTGGCAACTTTAAGACTTGTGGACTTCAACTCCCAGAATTCCTCAGCCAGC